TTGCAACTATGTATTTTAAAACGATTACCACCGGAATATTAATCATGATTTTAGTAATGATTTTCTACCTGGTCGGTGGTCGAATGCGATCCGTAAGTTTGCGCACTATAAGTCGTTCTTGATACACGACGAGTATTTTTTTTTAGGATATTGGTGACAAACGAGCAAACAGTCCATCTGATGTTAAGTAGTTGCTGTCGCTAATAGACATCTACATCTATCTTCGATTTGTTCGATTTGTTCGATTTATAATCAAAATGCAAATGCGTTGTCATCCGTGAGGACTAAGATGGAATGCCTCATTCCCAGTGAAAGGGGTCTACGATTCTTTACACTCACCATACGAAACACAGTAGCATTAAGCTGCTATTTAACGTGTCTTTCTCCGGCCGAGCCGATCTATTTGTGCTACAACCATAATATAACTGCAGCGTGTTTCTACCACTTAGATGTTGTTCCCGTTAAGTGCATTAAAAGAATCAGTATTCAAATGTACAAAAACAACTTTAATTAAGAAAAGTCTTAACTCTATATACTATTTTATTGACCGGGAAGCAAGAGAATTGTCAAAGACTGTTAGAGATTATAACTGCACACTTTTGTTTTTTGTAAATGAATTTGCAAATGAAAATCAATTCGAATTTAATTTAACTTTTGTATGATTAAATTTTCTGAAGGAAACTTATTTCTCAAAGAAACAGAAACTTTTTATTCATTAAGGATTATAAATAATACTTATCGAAAGTCACTTTTTTAATTTATCACTGGTTCGGAAAAAAACCTCTGTGTTGGGAAAGAAACCCAGCGGAACTTTTAAAAAAAGACACATGTCAAAAAATAATGCCAACATGTAGTAGACTCCGCGGCGGCTGACCGCTGAGAGCTGGTGGATTTTCTAGTGTAGTGGTGTTGGGAGTAGTGGTGCTGAGATTAGTGGTGATGGGATTCGTGCATACAATTGAAAGAGGGCAGGAGGTGCTGCAAACTAGGTAAGAAACATCATTTTATTTTATTCAGCGGATATGAGCGAAATAATTCTTACCAACTTTAATATAATAAAAATTGTTAATTAGTTTTGTACGCAACCATATTTCTGTTTCGGTTACATTCGTTGTTCAGTTATTAGTTTGTGTGCGATACTTAAGGGGAAATATAATGTCAAATGGCTTAGCAAGATCCTTCGTTATGCCGAAAATATTGCAGCATTAATTTTGAAATAAATATATGGTAAAGTTGAGGATTAATGTTAATGATTATGTTAGACGAAAACACGATTTCGTAAAATTTTCTCGATAGAAAAAAAATCCAAAGTTACCTCCAAAATAAACAATAAACCGCTGTTATTCATAAAATACTTTAAATAAGATCATGAAACTTTGCATACTAACTGAACTAACTATAAAGCAGTGCTTATGTTATTTACTTTTCTTAAAATACCATTATTTTCACTGTAAAAAGAAATTACCTAAACTATCGGCGTCTTGAGCTTGATTCCAGTCGCCCCGTTAGTATCGCTTAGGCTTTTGAAGGGAGAAGTTGTGTCGCTTACGATCAGAATATATATTACGCAACAGTACGACGTAAAATTAAAATGGGAAATAACCGTGATAAAAATAAGAAGCGGCTGGCTTGGCGTTAAGAAACAGGCATAAATATGATAAACCTAATGAAATAAGTGTCTAACGACCTATCTACTTACAGTATTAGTGATTACAAACATATCGGTACATAGCATACGACGCGCGGGGAAGTGGGGGCGAAATTAGAATTTGAGCTGACTTACTATATCCTCTTAAACCTGGGTTACTGTTCTTTTAAATTGTTTACGTTTCCCATGTTTGTATGTATGCTCGTAATAAACTAATAAATTAATACTTTATTACCGTTACTCTGCTGAACGTAGGCCTCCCCCATAGATTGCCTCATAAGGAGGATATTTGCCATAGTTGGCACGCTTGGCAAGCGGCTTGGCAACTGCAGTTTTTATTTTTTAATCGCTTTAGGAAGCCGCTGCTATCTATCTCCTGATTTGTTCCCTCTTTTTATTGACACCCTCGGGATGATATTGTGGATTTTATTCTTACATTATTACTTTAAAAATATATTACAAAAAAAGCTGCGTTTACATGTGATATATTTTTTAAGACTCTCACCGATTGAGGAATCAAAATATTTCCGGAACATGTGAAGTATACCACGTACTAAAACAACGCGGTTAAGACTTTCCTATTATATAAAATCTAGATCTAAGTTGAAACGAAATCTAAATTGAGGCTGTATTATTTAGTTCATAAGATTTTAATGAACAATTAAATGGTGTCACAGTTACGCCAACGAAAGAAGTCTACTCAGACTACACTGACGTTTTTTGTTTAAAATGAAATATTTTATTTGTCAGATATGTAGGTTTCCTCACAATTTTTTTTATAGATTAACGGTGATGAACGAGCACATAGTCTACATGATAGTAAGACGATGGTGTGGCCCATAGACACCTACGAGTACATATCCTCGATTAAGAATCAAAATGCAGATGCGTTGTCACTCCCGAGAATTAAGATGGAATGTCTCGTTTCTAGTAAGGGTTTTCGATTCGCTAAACTTACCATACGAAATACAGCGGCAATAAGCTGCTATTTCACGCTCGTATGAGAGGGAGTTCCTACCTGTTCGAGATGATCCATTTGTGCTACAACCATAATATATCTGCAGCGTGGCTCTACCACGTTAAATTTCTTTGTAACGAGTGTAATTCGAACCCCTGACAATCACATGATAAATATAGATATAAAAAATAACACCATAATTGTAATTTAACACCTATAATAAAGTAAGCACCTAAACAGCTTAACTGCAAGCTGTAAAAAGGTGATAATTGAACAGTTTTATAGACAAACAATGGAGTTAACAATCATTTTCAGTGTATGTCAGTCACACTTTTTTTAATTCGGTATCATAAACATCAATTATTGTGGAGGTAGGGTTGTCTCTTAAAATCAAAAGTAATTTAATGTAATATATTTTCATCCCACATCCATTATAGTCTATAAAAGTCCACTGCTGCAACATAATCGCCTCCCCCATAGATTGCCTCATAGGGGATTTAGCCATAGTTGCCACGGGTGGCAGATGGGTTGGCACCCGCAGTTTTTTTTGATGATTTTGTGATGTTCTCATGAAGAGTTTGCTGCTCGTCAACGGTTTCAATTTCCCTCTGTCAACTCTTACGACACCTAGGGGATGATATGGGGTAGTGGATATTATTACACCGTCACCACATGGTAATCTAATATATTTTATTTAACGGTAATTAAAATCAGCACACATAAAGTAAAGAAAGCAGAAACAAAATGGACGGGTATCGTACACGTTACAAGATTAACAAGTGGTAAAATTAAAAAAATGTTGTACAACCGACTTCAATGTAAATAAAATTAGAACATTATTAATATAGTCGAAGTCAATTAAATTCGCATTATTAATAAGTTTTTGAGTTACCCTTAAGGGCAACTCAAAAACTTATGGGATTATGGGACCACACGAGAAGCATTAGCTTTTGAATCATCAAGATCGGTTCATCTAGAAAAAAGTTCTGAGGTAACACACATAAAAAATGAGAAAAATACAGTCGAATTAAGTACCTCCCCGTTTTCTTGAAGTCGGTTAAAAAAGTCAATTAAACATAGAGCAAGAATCTCGTCTGCTCGCGGTGAAATTTATTAATTATTGAGCAAGTTTTTGGCGATATCTGGATCTGTTGCTAAGATCACATTATGCCAACACGTGTCTTTATACACTAATTAGTGAACGTGATGTTGATAATGATTGTGATGAAAGTCAAATTTTTTTTCAACATTTATCTTCGATTAAGAATCAACATGCAAATAAGTTGTCACCCCTGAGAACTAAAATGGAACACCTCGTATCTAGTAAAAAGGATCTCATACTCTTATTTCTGTGAGGGCATTTGGTCAAGTATTACTTGAGAGAGTTGAGAGAAAGTAGAGTTCAAGGGAGAAATGTTGGCGAACTTCACGTTATAACATTGGAGAGACAAACTATTTGTCTACTAGTGAGCTTGAGGACAAAAAAATGTCTCAGTCAGTAATTACAAAAAGTAAAGTTACAGCCTATATACGTCCCACTGCTGGGCACTGGCCTCCTCTCATTTGTGAGAGGGTTTTAGGGCAAGGGCCCGCCGCGCTGCCCAGATGAGTGTTGACTAACTACACGTCTTCGAAATATTTTTTTTATTTCTCTGACATGCAGGTTTGTGGCATACCTTGGGGGAGGCCAATGTTCAGCAGTGGACTTGTGAAGGGCTGTAATGATGATGATGATGATGATTAATATGTTTCATTAAGTCTATCTCGATGGTCTAGTGATTGTAAGCGCAACCATTGATCATGAAATTTCGGTTTCGAATCTTGGGTTGCGCCAAAACAATAATTGGGTTTTTTTGTTATTAAACACATAGTGAGCAAATTAGTAAGTTGGTGCTTCGACCCCGAGCTTGCATAAGCACGAAAAGCTCTTAGTCCTGCGTCTGATTTCTCTACTGTCGTGTTAGATTGCCATCTCATCGGATTATGAAGGTGAGGGAATAGAGAGTGCATCTGTGCTTGCACCTCGGGCTCTATAATCCTGTCCTGTGCAGATGGCTAATCTTCGTTGAGACCGCATGCCTTTACCGAAATTCGGTCTGGAGGACATACGTTAGTAAGAGTGAAGAAACACACAGTTTACTTGATAGAAAGTTTATGTTGTGGCCCAATGATAGTTGCATCCGTCCTCGATTAAAAACCAGTGCGGAAAAGTCGTAAATGTATTTCATTAAAAAAAGACTCCTCAGAATTTGTCATTTCCGTGCTAGTTTAGGCCTTTCCTGGTCAAGAAATTGGTCAGCACAAAAGCTACAGCCATAAAAAGCTGCAGGTATCCCTATCACCTATGATATAATACAAACTTCATTTGTGTTTCTATATTAAAGTTTGACGCACCTTCTGCATTGAACCATCCATGATACCTGAAAGTAAAGTAAATGTTTTAAAGTCCAATTTATTTTATAAGCTTTATATTTAATGAGAGGAATTTATTTTTTATGAAATTAGTTTCTTAACGGCTTTAACAGTTTCGATGAAGTTTTGTATATAATATAACAGAATAATTTTTATTCTTTACTAGCTGATACTCGGTATGGTGCTGCCGCAGTAGAAATAATTGTGGAAATATACACGCCATCTACTGTAAGTTAATTGTACTATGACTATAACTTTCGCGCAAGTACAAGCAATAAGTTTTTATTTATTATTTAATAGAATAAGGGTGACAAACGAGCACACAGTCCACCTGATTGTAAGTGGATGCTGTGGCCCATAGACATTTACATTTATTCTCGTTTAAGAATCAAAACGCAGATGCGTTGTCACCCCTGAGGACTAAGATGGAATGCCTCGTTTCAGTAAAAAGGGTCTACGGATCTCTACACTCACCATACAAAACACAGCAGTATTAGGCTGCTATTTTACGCTGGTATTTTGTGAGAGCGTGGTCCTTCCCCGGTCGAGCCGACCCATTCGTGCTACAACCATAATATAGCTGCAGCATAACTCTACTTCGTATGAAAGTTGACAAAGTTTACCGCAATCTAATGAAAGGTATGCCTGCGCATAAAATACGAATAAGGAAGCATTAATTTTTATATTTTAAATAGAATACTTAATATTGAAAGTCATTTATAACCACCGGTTTGAAAAACCTCTGTCCTGGGATGAATCAGTAGGAAACCCAGCGAGACTTTTTTAAAAAAAATAATTTACAATATATTATGAAAGGACTGTAAAGCTATAAATTTTCATACAAAAAGCGATAACGTTTTCCACACCCAGTAAACACAGTCTAATAAAGTTTTCAAATATGTTGTATATGTAATGAAAAACTAGTAGCATTCGATAGAACTTATTATCATCTAAATATCTATATTTTTGACTTAAAAACTTCTTCGAGCCTTTTAATTTTTTTAATTAATTTAAACTGAATTACTAAAAATGAGGATATCCGTAGTAAAACCAGAGTGACCTGCCCAACGGTAAATTAGTAAGCTGAAGTGGCAATGGGCCGGTCATATAGCTCGAAGAACCGATAACCGATGTGGAAAAAAGGTTCTCGAGTGGCAACCTCGTACCGGTAGGCGTACTGTAGGGCGAGCCCCCACTAGATGGAGTGACGACCTGGTAAGACATACAGGAAGTCGATGGATGTAGGTGGCTCAGGACCGTGCTTTGTGGCATTACTTGGAGGACTCCTATGTTCAGCAGTGGTCTTGTGAAGAGCTGTAATGATGATGATGATGACTAACAAAGAAAAGGTACAGACATAGATTAAGGTATACTGAATCTAATGAGCACAAAATTGTTTCATTAAAGCTTAGGGGTATGTGGTGTTGTTGGTGGTGGGTGGGTGGGGGTTTTTTTTTATATTGGATAGGGTGACAAACGAGCACACAGTCTACCTGATGGTAAGTAGTTGCTGTGGCCCGTATACATCTACATCTATCCTCTATTACGAATCAAAATGTAGATGCGTTGTCACCCGTGAGGACTAAGATGGAATGCCTCGTTTCCAGTAAAAAGGGTCTCCGGTCTCTACACTCACCATACGAAACACAGCAGCGTTAAGCTACTATTTGACGCTGGTATTCTGTGAGAGCGTGGTCCTTCCCCGGTCGAGCTGACCCATTCGTGCTACAACTATACTACTAATATAACTGCAGTATGGCTCTACCACGTATAAAAATACATTATTAAATTAAATACATTATTAGCATTTTTGAAAATACCTACTTGAGGCTCGTATCGTCACTTCACTATCTTCTTAATATCATTTAGAAACAGCATGGTAGTAATCACCTCATTTCCAGAGGTTATCATAAAACTTTTTAGTAGTATAATAACCCTTATTAAATATTTTATTTTGAATTAAATACAATTACTATTAATGGGTGCGTTTGGCAGAAAAAAGCGCTAGCAAGCGCTTGTAAGCAAAATGGCGATCGTAAGCGGTAAGCGCTATCAAATCGTAAGTAGCTATTTTCCTCTAGGACACGATGTTAGTTTTAACCGGGGAACCTAACCTAATTTAAATATATGTTTGTAAAGTATTCATATTAAAAACTTACTAATCATGAATTTTTAATAACATCTATATGTTTATTCATGTCATTATATTACTTAAAACTAATATTGCACAAAACAACTCATAAACTCTACTTCAAAACAAACAAATTAAATAAGCAAAATGGCGGATTGTGTCAGCGCTACTGAAGTAGCAATCGTGTCCTGGCTGAAAACTATTTTAGCGCTTGTAAGCGCTTGCTAGCGCTTTTTTCTGCCAAACGCACCCAATGTTTCATATTTTCTAGTGACGTTTCAAGTGACACTAAAACAAAACACAAACTTCTTGATACGCAATTATACCTACGTGGTAGAGTTATGCTGCAGCTATATTATGGTTGTAGCACGAATGGGTCGGCTCGACTGGAGAGGGACCACGCTCTTACAGCGTAAACTAGCAGCTTAATACTGCTGTGTCGTTTATGATGATTGTAGAATATGGATCACTGGAGATCTTTTTTACTGGAAACTAGGCATTCCATCATTCTTCAGGTGTGACAACGTATCTGCATTTTGATTCCCAATCAGGGATTAATGAAGATGTCTTTGGGTGTGACCCATCTATTGACCATCTGGTGGACTGTGTTCTCGTATGTCACCATCAATCTATAAAAAAGTTAGTACGTTTTACTATCTTCGGCTACATCAGCTATTAATTTCATCATGTTACTTAAATTTAAAGTCAAGCATTGGGATAATATCGATAAGAGTAAATGAAATTTTTGTGCCAGTACCCAGTATCGCCAGTATTCGGTAGACCTAGGATGTCGGTTGGAATTTACGAACGTTGCTAGAGCTGACCTAAACATACTTGCGTGTGAATAACTTAAATGTTCACGCCGCGTTAAATTTAACGGCGAGTACATTTTGCAAATCGTCTGCATATTGATTGTTTAGGTAATTGGATAGTATGAATATTACTAAAATTTTATTTTTATTTTTGGCACATTTCACATTATTTTCACACGTACCAGGTTGACTGGGAGGGGATGCCAAAAGGTATTAAGTGCGTCATTTTTAATCATATTTTATTACGGTGTACAATAAAGTATAAATAAATTAAAAAAGAATTTATTAAAAAAGAAGCTATTGCATAGCTTCTATCGCGGGCCTTGAGCGCGGGCACCGAATCCAGAAATTTATTCCGCCGTAACGAAACAACCTCACGCTCCCCACTCCGACGGGCACGGAGGTGTGGCTGTGAAGGCCGTGCATTGTCTAACGTCGTTTCTTTTCGGCAGTCTTCGACACGGTGTTTGTGTGCGTGCAACTAGACGTATTGTACGACTCTACGAAGCTCGCACGAATCGAGACGAGCTGCTCCGAAATCGGACGAATACATAAGCAGCTGTTTATGAGAAAGTATATAGGTGTATAGGTATTTATGTACAACAGTGAATAGCTGTACTTGTAAAATTTGTGTATAAAGTGTTTTGAATATGAATGAACAAAGTGCATTTATTATTTATTTATTTAATAAAAGAAAAACATTTGTTTTCTTATCGGTCACCACGCTCAAAAAGTGTAACTTGAATTAATATCAAAGAAAAAGAAATACTGCATAAATAAAATAAATAAATAATTATAATTGCATAAGTTGATACAAAATGCTATGCAATAGCTTTACCGCGGCAGTCCCCGAGTGCCACACGTCTTTTTTTTAATTTATCTTTCTCGAAACGTGTTGTGGCGTTTGAAAAATGTCCACTACCTTACATCCTCCCGTGTGTGTCGTAAAGGTAGACAGAGGGAAACAAAGCAGTGTATTTGTATTTTGAATCTTAAGGCTGAATGTCCATGTCATTTGTTGTTGTCACCCAATGCTATAAAAAAAATCGCGGAGCACAGCTAGTCGAGGACAAATATATAATATGTCTATGGGGCATAGCATCCTTAGCAGTACTTAGAGTTGACGAGGCAGCTTTATTTTGATTGTTAGTCCAGTATAAATATAAGGTGTCTATGGGTCATGAAATCCATAACGAGTGTACTGTGTGCTCGTTTGTCACCCTTATTTTATAAAAAAAACTTATATATTATTATAGTTTATTGTTTTAACTCATAATTTATTTATCTTTGTGTTTAGTGTATGAATCAAGAAAAAACTAAAATATTTTTCAATTTCGGTCCAGTTTTCTAGATAAACTACTGAATAAATAACTTTGTGATCCCATATAAATGTATAGGATTACAAAGTTACATTTGCAGTGAATAAATTAGTGTACATGGATAATATATGTGTATAATATAATGGAATAAAAGGTGTAGATAGGTACTTTGTTGGTAATCAAGAAGTAGAAGGTAGAACCGGAAGGAAAAAAGTAGGACTATCTGCAAAAAGAAATGAGATGCCATCAAAATCATACCTTGTAAAAAAACCAAGTCTCGCAACTTTGTTCTATCGTAAAAAGTTGTGAGATCCATGTAATACCAAGTCGGTTTATTTATTCAGTCCCTACTTAAGGGTCCTTCTGTCTTAAGTTATTACGTAATTAGCTAACATAACATCTTATTGTGACCATATTAATATTAAAAATCTTTTATGTTTTAAATTGAACTTTTTACGATAGAAGAACTAAGTTGCGAGACTTTGTTTTCTTTGATGTTTTTGATGGCATTTATTATTTTTGTACACCTCCCTCCGCCTTTACGTAGTTAAAGTTTCTGTCCATCTAAAGATTGCTAAAAAGAGATCGCTTTTAGAAATAAGGTAGTATTGAACAACTGATTAAATATACATTTTTTTTCCTGTAAATTGTTATGTCGTACTATAGTTGTAGCTAAAGTTAGGTATTAAAAATAAAATTTATTATTATTATTATTGTTTTTGTGTTAAAAAAAGCGACACA